AGTCATTATAATTTCTAGTTCAAGGTCAAATAGAGAGAAGGAAAAACCTAGGAGTATATATTTAGCTTCATTTTTTATTTATATAATCAAATACCCTAGAATATTGTTTCCAGTTTCCAGAAGTGTTACTGAGAACTTTCTGGGTAATATAAAACCTTACCTCTTCAAAAGAAAACAATAAACATTACAAAAAAAAAAAACAAAACCCCACCTTGCATCATTTTAGTTTGATTCCATTGATGAGTTCAATTCTGTTCACAGTGTTGAGAACCTATGCTTCAATTGCCTTCCCTTAAAGGCCCTCCAAAAGTCTACCTTCTGTAATCAATATTTATTATTCCCTTTCTCATTCCTCAGCAGAAAATTGAAGCTATTTATTGCCACAAAATACTGAAATGTATCTACCAAGGTTTCTGGTTTATCCTGTTTACAAGAGTTCGGAATGAGACACACTCAGCAACTAAGGCTTTCCTCTCGGAAAAGGGTCCATTTTTTCCTCTCCTCAGCATTTTCTGTGTATATCTGCATAGGAGTTGAATGTGTACTTTTCCAGACCTCTTTGTCATTTTGGAAATTATCCCGCTATCCTTTACCCATACAGTTGTGCCTCATGTTCTAGAAATTTACTCACATGGCCAAATGATGTATCCACAGATCAATTTGAAACTAAACCTTTTGCAAGCAAACTCCTATAAACTGTCATCAGTGTTAGCAGAACTTGAGCAAAGACCTCAACCCAGCCATCCCTATAGTAACTCCATCTTCAAGTGGAAAGAAAAGGTAAAATTTTAAGAGGTTGGTTGTAATTTCTTGATTGAGCTTGCTGAATGGAGTGGCTTATAGTAGCATCGGTTCAAAAAAGTTATCATGAATTATATATGTTGTATGTCTCAAATCCTAACTGCAGAATTTTAAGGTAAATTCATTTTTATTCTTTTTGAGTAGAATAACAAAAGCTAAACACAACTGAACATATTCTTCATATACTTAATATGAGAACTTAAAAACACTTTGGATCCTTCTTGTTCCAATTCGAATCTTAACTTTATCCTTTGAATGTGCTTTGATAGTAAAATTTCTATTAAACTGAAATTTTAGTATTCATACTGACCTAAATTATAAGGTTTTGTGATATGCATTAGTCATATCCATTTAACATACTATGCAATATGGATAATGCACAAGCACAATTTTTTAAATTCACACACATGTATTTTTCCAGTGTATTTTTGAGCACTTGAATATACATGGGTAATGATTGCTTGTAGCTATTTCCATTCCCTATCAGAAGGGGGAGCTGTAACCATCTCGTGATGAAGGGTTGGTTTTCTTTCTAAGAGACGCAGGAGCTCAAAATGGTCTCAATCATTTAGACAGTCATGATAATTCATTTGCATTAAAGCCAATTAAAGTTGAATTTGTAGAAGTAATGCTCTGAATGTTACTATTTGGCCTACGTACAGGTCAGAATTGCAAACAAGCTATAAAATATGGTAGCTGTCTAATTCTAAAAATATTAAGGCTTCAGAAATGAGAAAGCTCTATCATAGGGTTGAGAAATGTATTTAACACTTTATTTATAATCTGGTCCAACAAATTGAAAAATAAATTCCTGGAGAAAACAGCTACAGAAGAATTACATTTCATGAATACTTATGATGACAGTGTTGTTAAAAATGACTTCTTTTTTTTTTTTTTAACTATATGAACAGCAGCAGACACATAGTTATGTAAAAATATCTCGGCCTTTTCTGACAAAAAGATCAGAAAATGCTGTGAGCAGTTCATCTACTGGTGGGCAGAGCAATCCAAGTTCTTCATCTACAGGTAATCCCACACTCAGAATAATTTGGGGCTGGATCCTATCGGTAAAGCACATTACTACATTTACATTCTATTTTCAGAGCCACATTGATATATATCTATATACATTGGCTCAAAGAAATTAACATTTCAATTAAGACTGATTAATGTGTAATCCAAAAGGTGGGAGGGAGTCAAGAAGAGTGGAGCGTTGGGAAAAAAATTTTATAATATGAGAAGGTACCTCAGATGACTGGCTCGATGTTACTCAGACAGTCTGCAATTTGTTGTGCACACAATCACTCCTAAGCCATGGTGAAGAGCTCTGTTTCCACAGCCTCCTCCAAACTTCTATAGAAATCCTGTCCTTTCTGTGAGAAACATGGCCATCCCAGAGGCTACTCACCCCCTTTATTCAGCTACTTGACTTTAGTCATTTGTCCATTGACACACTAATCCCTTTTACCTTTCAACACACACATGTGCACACGCGCACACATGTTATTATTGCTTATAGTTCAACTATAGTTACTATAACCTTGACTTTCTAGTTTCTGGATTAAAAGTTGGCAGAAAAAAAAAGTTTCAATAAAACCCAGGACGTTATGGTCCACATGGTGTATTAAAGACTCACCGTTGCATTTTTTGAGAAACAGTTCCATAGGTACTTTGGGATGATGGTAAGAAGCACGTGCTCCAAATGTCTCCTATCTATATATGAATGGTGTATGTTTTCCAAAACACAGACTAGCTAACTGATGCTAAGTTCATGTGGGAAGCAAATAATATTCAGTTCTCATCTTTATTCTTATTATTACAATAGCTTTTCTCTCCAGGCTTATTATTTTCTGTATTATGATTTAGTTGCTTATTATATAATATACACAGTCCATACACATAGTAGGTAAGTCATAAATGGTAACTGAATCAAGGAATGATTAGTATGTAAAATTACAAACTGTTCTTTTGAGAAGACTTCAATATATTTAAGCTCTGCACCACACTGCTAAATAACTAAGGAACTTCCCATTATATTCCTCTTGCCTACTGACACAGCATTGGTAATTATAACTTGATCCAACTTTCAGCCTCCGGTGTGGCCCAATATGGCAACAGTCTTTGCAAGGCTTTGTATCCTTTTCAAGCCAGGCAAGATGATGAATTGAATCTGGAAAGAGGTAAGAATCACTCTCAAATGTTTAATCGCCTTCCCTGTTGAAGCCTTTAACTTGAATAAAACTCCTGTAGTACAGCAATGGTAGACGTACAGCAGCCTTAAAAGTTACTACCATGTCAAATCAGTTCAGGTTTATAATCACCCTTCTTAGAAAATAAAGATAAAACACATAAAAAATAGAGCTCATGTAATAAATATAGCTAGCATTTATCCAGTGTTTACTATGTGCTAGACATTGTTACAAGCACATTGTCCAATTTAATATCCATAAAACCCTTTAAGGTAAGCATTGTTATTTCGTCCCATTTAATTACTGAGGAGACCGAGGCCTATAAAGGTTAAATACTTTGGCTAAAGTCACAGGCAGTGGCTTTGCAGGATTTGAACTTAGAAACTCAGAGTCATGCTTAACCACGGTGTTACATCAGAGTAGAATGTCAGTAATGAAAAGTCATTAGAGATGTGGCCCCACCTTTTTCTTTTTCAGGAAGCTAATCATGCAGGAATGTGAGGCAACTTCCTCTCATGGCTTAGTGTAAGAGCATGTTCTAGAACCCAGGTCAGAGGACTCCTGACTTAATGTTTCTCCCACTTATCGCTCAGGGAGGTGTTTATGACCAATCTAAGGAAACAGATCCTTTTCTCTGCATCCCATATTTTTGTTTAATGTGGAAAGATATTACATAATAGGTTACACACATTTCAACATTATTAAACAAGAAAAAGTCACCAGCCTCAACTTTCTTTGTACATCCAGTTAGCAACCACATTTGGTTGTTAAAACTAAGACAGAGATCTAGAAATGAAAAGGTCAGTGAGAAAGAGTTGTGTCAAAGGAGGAAGCTCTTATCCATGAGCAGGACATGGCGCCCAGAGCCAAGGGAAGGTCAGGATGGATTTTGCAGCCAAACAATAGGGACACCACATATTTGCTACTGGTTAGTGGATGCCTCCTTTTTAGTTTGCCGATCAGATTTCTACCGGCAACTACTTTTCCTTCTAACTCAGAAATAAAGAAAAAAGGAAATAAAAAAGTAGACCCTCTTTTTAATTTTTCTTAAATCAATGTTGCCTTATTTAAAAGTTTTAAGTGTTACACAAGTCACTTCATTACTCATCATGCCATTCTAAGGGTACCTACAGCAGTAAGCAGGTAAATAAAATGCTATATTCCCACTTCGCATATAATAAATAACACATCTCCCAACTGCAATCTAGAACCAGGGTCCTGAGTTTGTGTTACATAGTTACACAATAAATTGATCATCTTGTTTGTCTTTAGTTTTTCGCTGATTGCAAAGCCTACTTATACTTCATATTCTGAGTAGGTTCTTTAAATGAAATGAGACATTGGAGGCTTAGGGAAGCCGGCAATAGGATTTTAAATTATTCATTAGAATTTCTGCTAGTAGATTGTGTAAATCTGCTTACCTGAGAAAACTCATTCCAGCGAGAACTTAGGCTGAGAATGATCTATAAGAATAAATAATGACTTAAGTCTGAGAAGAGATAGAAGGGGGTTAACAGTCTCCATTGTCTTAAGAAGAAAATTACTGGGGAAAAGGATAAAAGAAAGACTGAAAAATTACCTCAGAATGATGCTCAAGATAAAGTAGCTTTTGGATACTGAAGGAAGTGGATATTTTCACTTTGGTGTACAGAAAGCAGCCAGAGAGAATGGACTAGCTCTCAAAAGAGAATGACTTAGCCAGAGGATTTGAGGTACCAGGTTAAGCTTTAGGGTTATTCATATCAGAATGGTATTTTTTTTTTTAAATAGAGAATTAGAGAAAAGCCATGTGTCTCATAGGAACTCTATTTATTTGAATCATGGCTTTTAAAAAGTCTTGTCTTCAAATTGATATTTTATTATCCAAATTTTGAATGAGGAGTCATATTTCTGTGCAGAGCTATGAGTTGGAACTTTGAACTGTGAAGCTGGCACATATAATGAAGAGAAGTTGTCTTGATTTAAAGAAATGTCTGGTATCTGAGACATACTCATAGTAGTCAACATACCAAACTATCTCAGCCACCAATATGAGAAACCCTTAAAATACAGACACCAAGAAAGATTTGGGCGACTACCTATCAGCTATATCTAAAGTGAGCCAGCCAACAGGAAAAGCCAACATGATTCTGTTTTTAATCAAGCTGTTTTATGGCATAACTTGGCTGTACATTATCTTATTCTTTATAATATTCTCCGCATTATGCCTGCTTCATACAGAGGTGGTGAATAAATTCTGCTTCAACTGAATCACATGAAGAAAACAATGCTACCAAGTAACTCCTTGAAAGCAGAATCTCTCAACAACAAGCTTACCAATTGGGCACAGAGACCCATTTGCCTAACTAAATGTACATTTTCACAGGTGATATTGTAACTGTACACACGAAAAACGAAGAAGGATGGTGGTTTGGATCTTTAAATGGAAAAAAAGGCCATTTTCCTGCTGCTTATGTGAAGGAGCTCCCATCAAACGCTGGGTACACAGGCATAAAACAAGATTCTCAACGCGCTGCCTTACAGGCGCTATAAACTGTACAATGTGATGCAAATAAAGGTAAAAGCTGGGATCTTTACAAGTTTATCTTTCTAAGTCGGTGATGGTGTCCTACCTGCAGGTCACAAAACTTTGCACTCTTGGTTATTTTTTGAAACAGAATCAGAAGATAGAGAGTGGAGGGAGGAAGGAAAGAGGTCTCTCGGCTCCTGGGGTTTTCAAATTCTGAGACACCCTGGAGATGATCCAATACAGAGAGAGAGCGAGAGAGAAGAGAGCGCCAGCAAGCAAGCAAGCGAGAGAGATAGGTGAGGAGGGAGGGACGGAGAGAGAAACCAGGGTGGGTTTAGCCACCTGCCTTGAAGCCACATGGTTTTTTGGTAGCACAGCAGATTCTAGGACTCAAATGTCCTTTTTCTCAGGACTTGGGTGGCAACAGGCCACAACTGGCCTATGAGGGGTCAAGAGAGCCTGGGAGATGCCATTTTTGTCGATGATTCAAACACTGAAGGTTGGCAGATTCAGGATGAAGCATTTCTGGAGCTCCTCTAGACATTTCCTAAGAAGCTCCACTGCCCTCTCATGTGAGATAGATTAAGTCCAAGAAGGAGAGCTGGGCAGAGACAGGCAAGCAAGACACCAGTGACATAGACCTGAGTTAGTAGATTGTAGAAGAAAAGGTGAGGAGCCGAGGCCAAGAGTTTGCGTGATCAGAAAAGGGGGTGGTAGACAAGAGGTCCAGATACTAGATGGATGACTTCTGGGTAGAATGGAGTTCCATTCCGAGCCAGTGACCTTCTGAGGTAGTGACTTCTTATATACCTTCTGCCCACAACCAGAACTGCTCTTTGAGTGAGGCCAAGTGTGAGCCAGAGATGGCAGGGGATCTGAGAACAAGAGCAAGGCAGATAGGAAAGGGTCGGAAAGGAGACAGTGCCTAAAATTTTGTGCTTCCTTGCTCATTTGGAAACTTCACACACCAATTTATTAGCCAGGAATTCAGCACTTCCAGCTATGTCATTATGAAACGAATGCCCTAAGCCACTTCTTAGTGAAAGGAACTTTAAATATTGTCTCTCATTTGGGAGGAAAGTTTTGAAAACACACATTCACTATCAAATGGAATATTTAGTTAAAAGGAGATGTATGCTACTTTCTCAAATGCCCTATAATGGGAAAAAAGGTTGGAATGAGAGAGAGTAGTTCCAAAATTTTCTCGAGGAGAACGATTTAGAATGGAGAGAAGTAGTTCAGCGGCATCTTTAAGAAAATGGCCTGAGTTTGCCTGGAGATCACACACTCCATTGAATGGAAGGTCATGGTATTGATAGAAACATCTGGGCATGTTTACATTTGTGCCAAATAGAGAATCTGGCATTAAAGGAGTAATTAAAATCCATTCCATTACTCTTCCTGCCCATACCTGTTTTTTTTTCAAGTTTATCCGATTGCATTTTCAAGAAGGAATTTTCAAACCAAGGTACATATATTTTTATACTATACACAATCATACTCCTATAGGATATAACTAACACATAGAGATATTTATAGATACAGATATCAGATCTGAAGGAGCTCAAGTAAAATTTGTGTGAGACATAACTTATAGACTAGAAGAACCGGTAAGAAGTTTTAATGTCATTCTTAATGGTGTATTAGTGACAGCTTTCATCTGCATGCAGAGTAGATGAATAATAGGCCATTAGACCATGAACAGAGATTTTGAATTTATATTTCCTTTTCATCTTATTTCTTTCCATTAAGCCTTGATGGATAAAAAATTATGTAGCAACTGACCACAGCCTATACTGGATCATTTGTATAGAGAAACTAATGATAATGGTAGTTGGATCCTGAAACTCTTTGAAAATAGTTTTCAAAAAAGAGACCCCTCTTTCTTCATAAGTCAGTTTTACTTTGTAAAAACATAAATGGTTTTCCTATTTTGAAATGTTGCTCCAAATTATTTTTGCAGTTGTGATATGTAATTTTTAAACTTCAAAGAAATGCTACAGTCTTAAACTAGGTAAAAATACAAATATAGTTAGGTATAACAACTTTTATCTTGAATGTCTTTTTAGTAGGGCAAGAATTTTCTGGTGGGACAGATGGGGATGTACCCCTTAGACTTCTGTAAAATATAAGTACATATAGTGAAGATTAATTATGTGCCCAAGTCTTCCATATAGAATAAAATGATTTTTAATATTAATACTTTTAAACTCACAATTGGGCTTTCATAATTATACTCCACTAAGGAAGTTTTTAGCAACACTGATGACCTGAGATACAGGCACTGGAGGCCTCATCCAGATTTTCATTGAAAACATCAGAAGGCATCATTGTAATTTCTCCTACGTAGAGATATATCTATCATACTACCAACCCAAAGATCTATTAATTTCATTTTTTTTGCATTTCTAGTTACCTATAATAATATTTGTAGTGAATATTAAGATTCACTCTGATTCATCAAAAAGTAATAAAATATTCAGTTTGGGGTAAATTTTATTATGCGGTATTATAAAGCTTTTAACTGATTTATAATTTGAACATAGTCTAACTTTATTCTCTCCTTCCAGGAAAAAATCCCTCTCTCACAAAGTCTTGATTGCCTTGGGGTGGGGGAGGTAATCAGCCTGTTTTGGAGCAAGAGGAGTGCATTAGAATCAAAATAACATGTCCTATTTTGATTTGTAATGTTGCTCAGGAAGAACAGTATATAACCCAGGGAAGGTAGACCTGGGGCATGGGGCATGAGAAGGTGGGACTTGAAGTCGAACCAAGGTGTGAGGACATAGCAGAGAAGAGCAGGAACCTTTTGTAGAGAGAATGCAGCTACATGGATAGAGCTACATGGATGGAGTGTCAGAGATTCCTGTATGCTGGGATCCAGAGTGGAGGAGCAGCAACAGGGACAGGAGTGAGAAATTAGCGAAGGAGAGAATCCAGGTTGTGCTTATGCAGATGGGAGCTCAGCTCCAGGAAGCAACATATGGAAGCCTACGGCCAGGGAAATCTGCGTAAAGGAGAGAGCCCAGTGGGTACTAACCTGATCAGAAGTCACAGGAATGTTGAGGAAAGTACTCCCTAAGGTGGGAGTAAATAGATTTGTACAGAAGTAGAGCAAAACCCTTTCTCAACCGAGGAGTAGAAACAAACTCAACTGGCTAGAGAGAGACCTTGGTTCTAAGGCTCAGGACTAATGATAGAGATCTTTAGGGGAGTCACACCAGAGACTGCTTAGAAAGGACTGGGGCCAGGCTAGCCTAGGTATATGAGGTAGCAAATGTGTTACCTACTGATCTCAGTTTCAACTGGTTTGTGAACTGAGTTTTCTTTACACAGGGACAAACGGTAAGTGCTTATTCCAGTGGTTATCCAAGTAGAGGTCTGAGCCAGATTTTCACCTGGGTCAGCAGTGCCTGTGTAACCTTGTACTATGTTAGAAATGCAAATTATCAGCCTCCAATTTACGCTCAGTCAGAGACACAGTCATCTTGGTTTAACAAGCACTCCAGGTGACTAACGCAAGTTCACTCTTGAGAACCACTGGCTTACTTGAATGAATCCTGAGAATATTGTCTAAACTACAGCAGACCTACAGGGAAGAAGCACTGTTGGAGAGAGTGGAGAAAAACGATACATTTGGGAAGCTGGCACTAAAAAAGGAATATCCTCTCCTTTTAATCCAATAAGTTTTTTAAGATGGATGGTGTTGGGGGCCTTGCTGGAGTCTTTCCCCATTATAGAGGCTGCTCTAGCTAAGGGCCACTTTTCTTCTTTTTTATGCTCCTTATTGGCCCAGGAAAGAAGGAGTACTTTGGCCTACCTTATACTCTCTCAAAAAAAGAATCTTCTTTCTCAGCCACTTACTAGATAATTTCTTTGGCAAAAAAAAAAAAAGCATGGAATGGGAAAACGAGAAGCAAACAGCTTTCCTTCCTCAGTCCATTCCTCTGTACTCCCCACCCTGCCCCTTAGCTCCCATCCTCCCATCCTCTCCCTCTTTCTCTGACCCTCTCCATTCTCTGACCATCATGTTCAGACATGGTAGTCTAGTTCTGCTCAGTTAGGCTCCACGTTATCCATTTGTGTCTTCTATCTCTGATTTAGCTTCTCAGCCTACAATTGGTCATGTGAAGAAACAGATCATCTACAATTTAGGAGAGAGGAAGAAAAAAGCACCTGTATTTACCTAGAATCTAAACTCTATTCTCCATTTCTGATTTACTGTTAACACAACCCAAACTGTTCTCCTGTTTCAAGCAGGGGAAGCAACCACAAATACCTTCGGAGGGCAGGGAGGTAAAATTAATAAATTAAACAGATTAAATGTCACACTTTAGGAAAAGCAGTAGGGATGGGCTGAATTGGAGAAAATATGCCCCACCTAAAGGTGTTTAAATAGTATATAATATTCAGTTTTAGATACATTTTATTGTAGAGTGTAAGTCCTGAAATATTGTGCTCTAAACTTGTAGACCAAGATGTTATGATCTCTACTCTCTTATAAATTAGTATTCTTCTACCTCTATAATTCTCGATGGTGTTCTAATATACTTATCAGAATGTCTGATTGACCAGAACATTTTAAACCACACTAGAGAAGCTGAATTTGCTGAAATAAACCATAGGATTGTATTGAGGTTCATGACCAAATTTTATTCCCCATGAAAAATGCTTTGGAATTTAATTTCATTCCTATTTTTTTTAAAGATCATACTAAATTTTTCTTTTAAACTGATTAATAAATAGCTACAGCATACAAAGTTTAGACTCCTAGAATCTTAGAGGCAGGAAGCAATTTCAGAGTTTATATAGCCCGACACATCTATTCAGTCACTCATTTACTTACGTATTTCCTCACTGAACATTTTAGTGTGGAGCTATGTACCAGATAGTAGGCTAATGATAAAGATTCAAAAAAATAAATAAACTTGGTCAACCCTCAAAGAGTTCACAATCTAGTGGAAAAGACAAAAATGAAAACAAAATATTGCAATACAATGTAAAATAGTTTACATGTACAGTATCATGGTTGAATTGGATTATTTTCCACTTTTTAAAAGCTTTCTTGTATGTATAATTTACATACAATTAAACTATCCTTTTAAATACAGCTTATCGAGTTTGATAAATGTATAGTCGGCAACGACCACTACTTGTGTTAATCAAATGTTAAAACTTTTAGCACACCAGTTTCCTCTTTGCAGTCAATCCCTGCTTCCAACCCTAACCCTAGGCAACCACTGACCTGCATTCTGAAGTATACGTTTACTTTTCTAACTTGTTTTGACTTGCCATTTTATCCTCCCGCCGGCCTGATCAACAAAAAAGAATACTGCAAGTTTGAGAAACAACTAGAGTGCAGTATGGCCAGATGAGAAAATTGATGCTCAAAAAAGTTAAATGACTTGTCCAAGATCATGGGTCAATTTTAACAGAGCAGAGACTGGAACACATCCTAATTCTCACATTTGTCCACAATACCAAGTTCATGCTGAAACTTTTACAAACCAAGTTAGACTATTTTAAGATTTATCATTATTCATATCATATTCATTTAAATCTCCAATATTGCCTCCTTCCAAATTCTTATAAAAATCTATTAAGCAGGGTAAAAGAAGTTCTTCCTTGAGGTTTTTCCATTTGTGAGACCTTATCCTCAGCTTCTACTTCCAGCTTGCGTAGTTGCTGAAGTAAGGAGAGAACATGTGTCTAAACTCAAGACATTCTTCACAGCAGTTCGCACCATACATTGTTCATACTTCTATCACAATATATTTAACAATATCAAGAAAGGAGCTGATTTTAAATAGATGGTATATTCTCCAGTTTAGTTACTTAACTGATGCACTCTTTTTCTATTTAGATGAAACATGTCTTTATTCAGAAAGAATCTAATTAAGTCATTGTCATTCAATCAAGAATTGCCTTTAGAACCATCTTTATCTTCTACAAATTACTAAACTTCTCAGCAACACATCTGCAGGTATTATTGGACAAGTCAGCCCCTTTTCAAAGGTGTGATTTTGATTTCCCAGTAAGTAATTTTCCATTGAGCTTAAATAATGTGTTCAACACTAACAAATATTTATTAAGCTTCTACTATGTGCCAGACAGTATGCTGAGTGATAGCCAAATAGGCAATTTGCTGTCATGGTACACAAATTAAAAGATAATTGTCTCTGTATAAAAATTTTCCAAATTGGAAGAGAAGCAACACTTTCTAATCATCATTAGCCTGAAAACTGAAACTTCAAATCTATTAATCGGACACTTTAGCAGATTTTGCATTGATTCTTTTTTTAAAATTAAACAAGTAGTGATTTAATTTTAGAGTTCTCATTGTTCCATTTTATTACAATATGTGGACTAGATTAGTCAATCCCATTTGAGTTCCATTTCAATCAGCTTTACTACTTGTGCATATTTTTTCCCATTTAAGAAGATCTCATCTTTGTACCTTATGTTTTAGGAAGATTTTAAATGCTTAAAATTGTTATGTAATTTTTACAACATAATATCCTAAATAAAAGGTATAAAGAGAATATGTTTAATAGGATAGTCTGGTTTGCCTTTCATGTGTATTCTAATCATTCAAGGTATAATTTTCATAATGTATCAATTTTAAAATTTAAGCTAATATATTCATAATATCAGTTCCAGAATCTTCCTAGGTTGGCATATAGTAAACCTCAAAAATTAAGGCCTCTATATTTGATTAAACAGATAAGACTTAGGCATAAATCAAAAGCCCCCCCCCATCCACCATTTCCATAATACCTGGGTCGATGATGACCACACCCCTAGAAACTTCTCAGTGAGCCACATGGGATCTAAACACCAAATACTCTGCCCATTGTTTCCCTGAGATCTGCAGCTCTTTAGTCATCTTAGTGAGGCTTTTTCTAAGGACCCAGACAAAACATAGTTCCTTGTTTTCAACAGTTTACCATTTTTTCCCCTTAATCATTGTACTTCTAAAAAAACACAAAAGCTAAATTATAGAAGTTCAAATTTGTTTAGAATCTTTAAGAACTTTGTCTTTATACTTTCCCTGCAATAGAGCATAGCAAGGCATAAGGTGTAGTCCAGGTAAGGCTCCTGGGTTTGAACCCCAACTCTAACATTTACCAACTGTGTGGCTTGAAGTCACTTAAATTCTCCATATCTTGGATTCCTTATCTATAGAACAAAGTTATGGATAATATCTACCTCAAAAGTTGTTAATAGAACATAAAGGAGTAGATATATGTAAAGGGCTTAGAACAGTGCTGGACGCGTAGGGCTAAAAAGTATTAACTATTATTCCAAGGTGGCTATCCCTAACTACTTTCCATTTTGGAATGAATCGACTTCCTAGCTGAGAAAACCAATCACTATAAACTTCCATGGTTTAAGGCCCTTTGGTAGGATAATTTTTCTTTCTCTATCTGACTTTGGATCCCAGCAGCAAAGCCAATGACTTCCTGCTACATGGTCTTGTTCTCAGATCTTGTTCCACCTCCATCCCCAGTTAGAAGTGAAGAATTGCTGTCCTTGAGGAGAAACAGACCCTAAGTGAGGAGCTCCCCATTTCTTCTCTCATCACAAATCTTTATTTCTCTAACTTGTAGGTGAAATCCTTCAGAATTTCTTACTAAGGCAAATCATGTCAATGCCTGTTCACAGTATGGTTCAAAACAGTAAATGAAGAGTTCGCGTTATGAGACATGGTCTTTCTCTAGTCTCAATGAATGAAAAGCTTTCCTTAAGTTTTATGTTTGTTTTATGTGGATATATTTCAAGCGGGGAATTCGGTAAATACATACTCACTGTATTAGTCATCTGCTGCATCATTTTGTAACTCAAACATCTTGTCTTTCCCTTTCGGGAGCTATAACATTTCCTCTCTTAGCTCAAGCTGTGGAGGTTAATCTACCTCCACACAAGGGTTTCATAAAGGAATCTAGTCTAATCCAAAGCATGTACTTTATCTCCCTGGTCATTAGTGATTGGCCAGGTACTGAGATGGGCTTGAAATTGCTGAGGTCTACCACATGGGGCCTCAGCCCAGGAAAGAAAAAAAAAACAGCTAAGAAATGGATCCTGCTGATATGATTTGAGCTCCAAATCAAGCAAGGTCCACAAAAACCAGTTAGGTTTTGATATGGTTTTCTGTATTCGTTTAAATGTAGGTATATAAAAAAAATTAAGGCCAAATGTGAAGATCTGCATAGGAAAACTGGGTAGTTTTGCTTACTGTACCCCTGCTGTTAAAATATTCCTTTTAGCCAAGCCATTGCTAAAACAGGTGAGACTGTGAGTAGAAAAGGCTCCCATATCTAGGGCAGTTTATTGGCCTTTTATCTCTGCAAAGCTAATACCACACAGTGGTTCCTAAAAGCTGGTCTGCACCTCGGGGTAGGTCACTGAACATTCCCACCAGTCCACAGCATTCTCCTCAGATAAATTCTACTGCTATATGAACAAAGCCCTGAGCCAAGTCCGAGGCACGAATGGCAAATGAGGGAGAGTGCTTCTGAAACTTCCTTCTTACTCTAACCAGACAACCAGACTAAAATGTTCCCAACATTTCCAGAAGCAGGAGAGGAGCTGGAGGCACCAAGGTCATTGTTCCATGGCTTTTTAGGTGTATCCAAGATATCCTGCAGCAGTATTATGTGGCTTCCATTATAGCCAGCATACCTAAATACAACCAATTTTACAAGGAAAGGATGGTGACAAAACAAAATCCTAGAACAAGCTGACATTTGAACTCGCCTGTGTTGAATACACTGTCAAGATGGCAAACTTATATCCAGATCACAAACAGTATAAATATTACAAAATGGACACTGGTTATAAATGTTCTATAGATTTTCAAAAATATAACTTTTGAATATCTTAGAATACTGCCAACCTCTTTCTGATATAAAGGTTTGTCCTTTAACTGTAGATGACTCTTGGTGTGAGATAAAAATGTTCTTTCCTTTTTATTTGGATGATAGTAGATGATACTAATTTAGTGGTGTTTATCTTACTAAGTACATTTCAAAATTTGCCAACCCTAGGTTAGGTCCCGCCTCCTAACTTTTTAATATTATCAGTCCTTGACCTTCGAAGCTTGGAAAGTTCTGAGATACAGTGCTGGTTGTACAAATTCCCATTCACAGGCTATCCATAAACTACCCATGCCTGCCATTAAAAAATATATATATATTATTTCAAATATATAAAATGTATTTATTATGTATTACATTATATATATTATACATATTAGTAGAATTTACCTAGGAATATATATGTACATATATTGTTGACCTTTGACAACTGCAGGGGTTAGGGGCTCCAATCCCAACACAGTTGAAAATCATATAATTTAAATCAGCCTTCCCTATATAGATTCCCAATGGTGGGTTGAAAATACTGTTTTCCATCCATGCTTGGTTGAATCCACAGATGTGAAACCCAGGGATATGGATGACTAATTGTATATTTATTGGAAAAAATCGACATATAAGTGGACCTGCACAGTTCAAATCCACGTTGTTCACGGGTCAACTGCATGTGTGTATATATATTATCTTTCATAAAAACAAAACAAAACAAAAAAAAACAAAAAAACACACATTTGACTTTATAAATTTTATTTCCTAAGGTTTTAATTAATATTTCAAAGAAATACACCACAGAAATATTTAAAAAATACAAAAGGACTATAAAGCAAACAACGAATAATGAGAATTTCTTTTAAAAGAGATACATGATAGGAAAGGAAAATAAACAGTTCTCATATACTATTTATACATTAATTTTAATCCATAGTACTAAAAGCTTTCCGAACATTGGCAAGAAAAGCCGAAAAGTTTTTGGTCTTTCTTACATTCTCTTGAAATTCTGCTAGGCACTCAAGTTGAGGAGCACTATCTGACACTAGAAGGAAAAAAAAAGACAATGTGAATGAGATTTTCTTTTTTTATGGAAGAGAAGTATTTCTAATTTAGATGCTTTCATCTGATTCAAATCATTTTAATTCCATTTTATTGAACTGCTTTGAGCACATGATGATAGATCCACTTGATTTTCATATCCCAACTATTTTGGAACTTTCCTTTGTTTAATCTCTAAATGTTCAAATCTATGCACTACAGTCTTGCTTTAAACAGAAGTCAAGAGATTGAAGAGCTTAATGATAAAAAACAGAACGCCATTTCCCATCATCTTTCCTATATATTTTAACTATTTACACTGTTTTAACAGGTTTTTTTTTTTAACTGTTAAGTAAGTTTACTCTGCAAAACTTTAGCCTGACTTCTAGTTTCTGACCACTGGATCAAAAAAGAACAACTTTCAATGCCAACCCTTAATATTTACAATTACGGAGAAAAAACCCTAAAGTTTCACAAATGAAATGGAAGTCATTTGAAAATGTGATTGCTATTCCAAAAGTTGTATTTGCATTGCCTACTAAACAAGTGATACTCCAAGTCACAAATAACATATGTAACTCTTATGTAGTTGTACCAGGTGGTACATATTGGGAGCAAGCAAGTCTCCAGAGAGGGCAGTCAAAAGAAATGATCCAGCGTTCCCTACTATTAATCTTGTCCCTTGTTCAAGAGGAAGAAATTCGACTGTAGCAGATATCCAGCTCTTTGGTAGAGACTGCTTAGGAAACAGGCCCATGACCAAGCAGAGAAACAACAGAAAAGAGTACTTGGTTCAAGATTAAACTGTAGTTTCTTTTTAAATACACTATCAAATACTATGAAAGTAAGTAGCAATAAAGGATATCCAACTTAAAGAAAATTAAAAAGCTAGGTAAGAGGTTTTTTGAGATTGCTTTTTAAAATTCGGCACTCATTAAATTAGATGTTTATATAGAGAGAAAAAGCCAAATATTTGTATATGAATCTGATTCCTAAAATATAAATTCCATTGGAATAGGAATTGAGTCATCAGGGCACATTAGGGAGCCAACTAAGCTGTTCACCTGAGTGTGTGTCTCCTATAGATGCTTTAATATGAAACCACAGGTATAAAAAGCTGAGAACCATTTCCTGAATTCCAATAAATTACTTTAAAAGGGTAATTAGAATAAAAAAAGAGATAAATATATTTCCATTTTCTTCTTAGTCACACTATCAGCAATCACATATGTTCTCCATAAATCAAAAACCTGCTACGGAATCAGTAACTTGGCTAAATTATCAATATATAGGATAGAGTAATTCTGTAAAATTGATTTTTGGGAAAAAATATTATTATAATATCTATAAATCAAAACTATTGTCATAGCCTTTAGAATATCGTAAAAAAACAAGACTAGAAAACAATAGCTTGTGGGAATATTACTTTCTTCGTATTACTTTATATTCCAATTCAAATAACATTTTGGGATGCCAATCTTAAATGCCAGTTATAGAGAGGAGGAAATACCTTCATAGTCCCTTGCTTCATTTAGGTGCAGGCAAAACATAAATGGGCTATCAGGATGCTTTGGGTCAATATTAGTGAATATAAACTGCAATTTATCACCTGAAAGAAAAGATTATCTATTTAATATCAGAATATTTTATTGTACCAAAGCTTTCAATGGAGATGAGCTTTCTTATCTCTGTCTCTGATCAGTTATCTATACTGCCAAGTATATATATTCACTTAACCAATGTCTCCAAATGTACAAGATACAAATTAGTTTTAAAATGTATTGTAGTTTAAGTGACAATAAAGGCACAAACAACAAAAGAAAAAAATAAATTGGACTTGATCAAAATTAAAAACTTGGCTTTTAAAGAACAATACCAAGAGAGAAAAAAGATAACACAGAATAAGAGAAAATATTTGCAAATCATATCTCTGATATGAGTTTAACACATAGGATGTATAAAAAAACTCCTACAACTGGACAACAAAAAGAACAACCCAATTCAAAAATGGACTGAGGACTTACAAAGACATTCCTCCAAAGAATAGATACAATGACCAATAAACACATGAAAAGATGCTCAACACCACTAATCACTGGGGAACTGCAAACCAAAACTACAATGAGATACCATTTCAAACCTACTAAGACAGCTATAACAACAACAACAACAAAAGTGTTGATGAAGATGTAAAGAAATCAGAACCCTTTTATATTGCTAGTGGGAAAGTAAAATAGTGCTACTGCTGTGCAAAATAGTTGGGCAGTTCCCTGAAAGTTTAAACAAAGAATTACAATATGATCCAGCATTTCCATTGCTTGGTATATACTCTTAAGAAATGAAAATAGAAACTCAAATAGGTAACTATACCCATGTTCACAGCAGCATTCATTTTTTATAGTAGCCAAAAGGTGACAATAGCAGTGTCCACCAATAGATGAATGGATAAACAAGATGTGTTATACATATACACATACAATGGAATACTATTCAATGAAGAGGAATGAACTTGACACATGCCACAACATGAATAAACCTTGAAAATGTTATGCCAAGGGCAATAAACCAGACACGAAAGGACTGCTATCCTCAGAATCTTAGAAAGGTCTGCTTGCAAGGATGGTCCCTGGCTGGTGTGCTAGAGGTCCCCAAGACCACCTCAGGTTTGAAGATTCAATAGAACTCATAGGGCTCAACATATGGTCATCCTCAGGGCTCTGATTTATTATAGTGAAAGGGTACAGCAGAATCAGCAAAGGGAAAAGATGCATGGAGTGAAGTTCAGGGAAAACCAACACAAGCTTCCCTGGGAGACAGCACTTCACATGTACTGTCACAATTCAGTTCTGAGGAATTTACACATCATGTGTGACTTCACTGGTTTAGGACTGTTGAAAACTTGCACCTGATAACATTGTTTCCTCTAGACTTTGCCCATAAACCTTTTTTGGGCGGATTTGTTTTGTATCCTTTCTGCAATAAATCTGAGCCATGAATATGACTATATGCTGAATCCTGTAAGTCTTTCTGGCAAACCACCAAACCTGACGGTGATCCTGGGGACTCCCGACACAATAAGTATTGCTGTAAACACATAATGACCATTATAATACTTAAATGCTTTAACCTGGTAATACTCCTCTGGGAATGCCATAGAAATTATACAAAAGAATGAAGAAGTCTACATTCACCACAGTACTTCTAAAACTAAATAACAGGCAAGATCCAAAGGCTAAGTTAGAAGCAACAGATGTTAAAATAGATAAAAGACTAAATAAATCATGATACATTAATGGAAAGAACTATTTCACCACCATTTTAAACTTACCACTATGCAGGCTATAACAACTGAAGAAATGCTAATCATACAATACCAAAACAAACAAGGAACAAAAAATACTTGCACATTGGCAACCATGCCAAAAAATGCATTTATTAAAACACTAGATGATATATAACCAAAGCATCAGTAATTATGTTAGGGTGATAAAATATGTCATAGGAAATGACATATTTTTACTTTGAAAAAAAAATTATTTAATTCTCTACTTAAGAAACGACACATCTTTATAATCCGCCTTTATAATCTCCTAAGTTTTACTTATGTTAGTATACTTACCATAAATTTTTCGAATTTCTAGTCCAAGTCGCTCTTTATACAAGTCTACAGATTTCTGCAGCCTTTTCAACCTCTCTTCACTAGCTTTTTTAGCAGTGGAAATAGCTATGATTTAAAAAAAAAAAAATACACCGTATCAAATATTTTAAATGACAAATAATGCTCATTTAATTAATTTTAAAAACTTGAAAACAACTATAAAAATGATGGCAGGCAAATGAATCTGCTTACATTTATTCAGTTTCTATCTCTACCAATTAGCAAAAGGGGCTTCTGTTCATTTAAGATGGAAGGAAAAACTGTGTGAGTAAATATGTACAGGTACTATTCTATTTTATTATGTAGTAGCATGAATAAATAGGCCAAGACTTGCATGGCTGGCAGAAATAGACTTCTTTGACACTATTTGCTTTTTCTAGTTAGCCAAGAAATTGCTTCATTGGAAAAATATTTTATTCTTTTAAACATAACTATTTCTCATGTGAAGTCAACTTCATTTCATACTAGTTTAGAATTATTCTTAAAGTTAACACATTATTCTCTAAGTAACACATAGCAAATGAGAAAAATGTAGAGTTGCATGCAAACTCTATAAGAAAACACATTAACAAAACAAAACTTTGCTATTTTCAAGAGACTTGAGAATTACTTTGTGGGCAAAGAAGACTCCTTTCTACAGGAAGCACTCATTTGAGTATGAAAGTTTCTTAGACAAAAAGACTTTCTAGCATAAAGAGCATGCTTAATGGTTCCTGGCAGAGCATGTGTGATCAATAAGTCTGTTGCATAAATTACACTATGGCTTCTCCCAGGCAAATCTTATTTAGTGAAACTGTCTCCCACTATGCTTAACTAAACTCCCATATCAATTTCATTATTACTCTGGCTATATTAGAAATCAAAAGGACCTTTAAATCAAAAGAAAATAAAACTCACTTAGCTAACTTCGCAGGCACTTTACAGAGATGAGTGGCTGGCTATACCCCTATGGTATATTTTCTATTTTTGGCAATAAGCTGGAGAGAAGGCAAGATGTACATAATAGTTGTGAACCATCACCACTTTGAAATTTAGATTGATGTTTTAAATATGTGTACAACTGGAAACTTACTTTCTTTCTTCCTGGCATATTCTTCCTTAAGATCCTGGATATTTGCAGTCAGTACTTCCAATTCTTGCTTTTTGTCTTTTACTTCAACAGTCAGCTTTAACAACTTATCTTTTTTTTCCTGAATGAGTTTATTCTGCCTGCAGATCTCTGTAAGAAGCACAAAGTATTAGCCAGAATATATATGCTTTACTCTCCAATACATATCTAAGATAAGACCATAATATTGACTTTCATATTAATACAGAATGTTTTAATTTATATTTCCTAATGATTAAAGAATTATAAAAGAACAAAAAGAAAATATCCTAATCTATTCCTTCCTATTTGTTTTCGAAAATGGAAATGAGAAGACAAAATGCCTTTTTAAAAAAGAATACCAAATTAAATCAAGAAATAGAAAATCAGACGATCGTGACTCTTGCAGCTCCTCGCTTTCAAATAAATACAAAAATAAAACCCACCACCAAAGACAATCAAATTTACACAGTGCCTTGAAGAAACAGCTAATTCTAATGCTATATGATTCTGAAACATACTAAAAAGATAGAAAGGAAAAAAGGAAGGGAGTGAGGAAAGCAAACAGGAAATTTTATTTACTCTAGTAAAAAACAAAACATTCAGGAATATCAAGAAACATGTAGGCTCTGTATTTTAAAAAAATGTAAAACTTGTCTGAAAGATATATTTGACCTGTATATATGGAGAAACACTTTATGCTCCTATTGTAAATACTATAAAGATGTCAATATTTCTCAAATTCATATATTTAATACAGTCACAATGTAATATATAAAAAAGAGGATCTAACAAAATTATAAAATTTAATATGATGAATACTTAGGTGAGAATACTTAAGAAAATATGGTAAAAAAAACAACAGAAAAAGGATTTAACATCTGTGATTGTAACACTAGTAATACAACTTAAGTGGAGTACAACTTAAAGAACTGATTTACAGCTCAATTAAACAAAAAAAGGCATTCCCAACGAATTCCTGTTATGTTTAGGAAATTAATATGAAAAATGAGATCTAAATCAAGAGGTAGATTGTTCCCTAAACAGTGCTCAAATTCAGAATTAATTACATATTTATTAAATACAAAATGAAATCTTACAAAATCTAGAAGGCAGTATCTGTGAATATAAAAGTCACGCTATGGGGAAAGATCTTTTTACTCAAATGCAAAAAGAAATCAAAGTAAGGCATATACTGGCTACATAAAATGAACAGGTGAAAAAATTCATATGTGATTCAAATAAGCATCAAAATCTACTATATGCTAGGTACTTTGTCCAACAACTTATACTTATTTATGTAAATTTTTTATATAAATTTAAGTTTCACAATAACACTATTCCGTAGGTCATACTCTCTGTTTTAAAAGAAGAGGAAAAAGACTCAGCAGTTCATTCATTTGCCTAAAGCTTTATTTGCTAGGATATAATAAAGAGTAAGATCTGGCTTCAAACTCAGGTCTTGACTTCAAAGGCTGCTTCTGACCATTATAAACTATCCTCCCCAACAATGAGCTATTGTTCTTAATCTAAAAAAGACACAAATATAAGTTCCTAAGGGAAAAAAGTAGATAAAGGAATAAACAGAGGAAACATAGAATGCAGACGGTTAGTAAGTACAAAACATAATTTAACCTCTATAATCCCAGAAATGCAGATAAAGCAACAACATACCAATTTTCATTTATTACAACAATGTTTACAAAAATAATAGCTAGTGTTGAGAAGAATACAAAATACCAAAGTCCTTGTGGAAAGTATTTTTGACATTGCAAAACAAAAGTCTTAAGGGGATTCATGTCCTTTGATAGTTATTTCATCTTTATAAAGCTACCCTAAGAAAACAAGATGTGTGCAGATATTTTCATACACAAAATTATTTTCCGTGCTACTTACAATAGTGAAAAACTGAAAACATCCAAAATGTCTAATAAATAAATTGTTAAATAATATGGTACATAAATAAGATAGACTATATTTTCAAAAAGTTAATAATGTGGGAAAATACTCTCAAAGTGCAAAAAGGAAAAAACACAGCACAAAGTTATGTTGATAATGAGTAAAGTAGGCAAGGCAAAGCAAAAGAAAGTATCGGGACTAGGGCAAATTAAAGAAAATGTGCCCCATGTAAAGACATTGCAATTTAATACTGTTTCAAACATGGTGCTGCTAAATTTAGTATGTCCAGTGGAATATGGCTTGTGGTTTGTGTGTGAGAATTCATTAAAAGCAGCTGATCCACTCCGGGTAATCTGGAGTGGTAAAAATGAGAAGGCAAGAACAGTAGTAAAAATATGGAGAGAACAACTCTCAGAATACTAAACCTACACCCAAAGAGTTGAAAAAACTCCAGTTTTTGTGATTTCCCAGTCTGTGATTTCCAATGTAGAAAAAAAAACTTATTATTATTATTTTTTAAATACTGGAATTTATACATCAATATAGATGAATCTCACAAGGGCAATGCCAAGAAAAAAAAAGGGACAGGATATACACAAAATGATGTCATTTATGTAACATTCAAAAACACAATAAAAAAAAAACATTGATAGGTTAGCTCTGGAAGATGGGAGAGGGTCAACACAGGATGTTCTATTTATTAAGCTGGGTTATGGATACATATATGTTTATTATTCTTATGTGTGTATACACACACACGGAACACATTGTTTAACTTGTATGAAGGATTTCATAAAGACGTTTAATCTAAACAAAACTGATCTACATTTTGTCACATACCATTTTGATATTCCAGAAACATCTGAACCATTCGTTCTTCTTCCTTTAATTTCACAGACAGCTTTTCTAAAAGAGAAATTGGAATTGACATTTCAATTCAGCTGAAATAATACTAAAAAACAAAGAAAAATAGCATGTTACAAGTTAAATTTAAGTACCTGTAAATGCTTTATTGATGTCCTTGTAGGAATCTCTTAGTGCCATCATCTGACAGGAAGTGTCACTGACACTGCTTTTAAATTTATTCCAAAATTCATTTATGCTTTTATCTAACAGTGCCAGTTCGTCCTCTACCATTTTGTAAGACAATGCTACAAAACAAATAGAACGCACATTGTATTTTTGTTACTTTAATCATATCAGGCTCATATTCCAATCAACTATATTCTGGCAGTCTGACTTTTGCTAGAAATGGTTAGCAACTTACTTTTAACTCTAGATATTCCAGGGCAGATCAAGCCACCTGGACTGAACTAGGGTTGAGGTGCAACAAGAATTCTAGAAACCCTTACCTCCTAGAAATTCGTTAGTGGTGCAACTGTACAGGACACTTACAAGCTCTGTGACCCTGGGAAAATGACTCCGATTACGTTTTCTCACAAGTAAAATTGGTACATCTAAGACCCCTTCCAACGCTGACCCTTTCTTTCAATTCTGGCCTGGATCGCCAGGTACCAGAGAGCCGATCCTCTCAAATAGGATAAGACCCCACACATCTACCCTGTCTCTTCCTCCCACCCCAGACCAGGAAAAGTTGCAGTAAAATAAAGACTGGAGTAGGAGTTCAAAGGGTTTGGTGCAGGACCTGTACAAGTCACCTAGACTCTCTAGGCCTCAGTGTTCTTCTCTGTAAAAGATGTCTATCCTGTAAGATTCTAGACCCCACCAGTTCTCTGTAATGCTAAAACCTTCCCAATGACCTCAAATCTTCCCAGGAATACACAGACATGTCGTTCGGTGAAACCCAAAACCCTTCAGCCTCGCCGCTGCCCACCCAGCGACACCCAGACTCAAACAGAAAACAGGACGTGCATTTCACAGACGCCACCCCGGAAAACACATTCCGCCCCCAAGTCCACTTTTCCCTATCGCAACAGGCGGGTCGGGGAGCCTAGCTCAGCTCCCGACCTCCCTCACCTTGGGGAGGCCTGAGCCCCGAAGCCTTCCCCACACAAGACCTGAACCGATACCAACCAACCGCCGGTCTCCAAACCCACCTCCCACAGCCGCGCCACTTTCCTATTTCAAACTTACGTCGCCTTCCGCCTCCCGACTTCGGGCGCCCATTCGTCTTCTGATTGGCTGGTAGCATAGGTTCTCCATGAAGGGATTGGTTGAGCTAGCAGTCCAGGATTCTCGCGGAAAAGAAAGGGGAAAGGGCATTCTGGGATTTGTAGTCCTTTCTGGGAGAGGGCTTTGGAGAAAGTAATAGATCTTGGAATACACGTCCCGGGACGGGGCATTCATCAGTTTCAAGTAAAGATTTCTGCACTAGATGTAAACATTGGATTTTAATTATACTCTGTTGCCAAGTATATGCCCTCTTCTTTGATACTACCTTAAGCTTAAAGCTAATTAAAAGTAATAAAGCTAATAAAAATACAATTGTTTAATCGTCTCACCTTTAATTACTCTTCACTGGGAAGTGGCTGGAAAATTATTGTTTATTTGCTTACAATATTAACACTTCCAAAATTTTCTTATTCTCCGTTTTTCAGCATGTAAATTAAAACAGAAACACTAAAAGACTATACCTAATACAGGTAGTTTCTTCCCCAGAAGACAATGACACAAAACTTTTAATAGTTAAAATCCTTGCTGTATTGCAGATAAAAGTGAAAAAGGAGAGGGGGCAGTCAGAGGTAATTCAAGTTATCTAGCCTGGGTGTTTGAAAGAATGAAGATACTGCTGGCAGAATTGAAAACGTCTTCATGATAGATTGGGTATATTGGAGGAGGAGTGTTGCGGGAAATCAGAGGCACGATGAGTTATGATTTTAATATGTTGTGTTTGAGATAATATTGTTGGCAATGTTAACCAAGTGTTAATGTCCTTTAGGCAGTTAGTTTCTCTAATAAGTTACACAGTGGCTAACTGCTGCAACTCTGCAATAAGATTGCCTGGGTTTGAAATCCAGGCTCCATTATTTACTAAGTATGACTGTGGGAAAAGTTTCTTGGTCTCTTGGACCTCAGTTTCCTAACCAGTAAAGTGAGGGTAATAATATCTTCTGCATATACCTAATGTGAAGACTTAAAGAGATAATAAACACAAATGCCTTAGAATAGGTCCCTGTAAGTACTCGAAATTGTTTCTTGATTTTATGATTTAGACCCTACCTACTTCTTATAGAACAGATTGTCATTAAAACATACATAAATAAGACTTTAAAAGAATGAATTTAGATTTAGAGAAATAGAGAAATTGTTGAAATTGAATACTAACTTTATCTAAGGCAATACATATAGCTCCCATTTCAAGACAATCACACTACTTGTAGAATCCTAAATTTAAGGAAACATGCATTGTGCTATGTCTGAATAAGTACAGAATACAGACAGACCTTGGAGGTATTATGGGCTCGGTTCCAGACCACCACAGTAAAATGAGTAAAGCTAGTCACCAATTTTTTGGTTTCCCAGTGTATATAAAAGTTAGGTCTACACTATTCTGTAGTCTGTTAAGTGCGCAATAGCATTATGTCTAAAAATACTATGTACATATCTAAATTTAAAAATCTTGTATTGCTAATGAACCTTAAGCAAGTCATAATGTTTTTTCTGGTGAAAAGTCTCACCTTCAATTTGTAAAAAAAAAAAAAAACACAGTATCTGTGAAGCACAAAGCAAAGCACAATAAAACAAGGTATGCTTGTACATCCCTTCTACCCTAATCCGGGTTGAATTAATTAATCAGTTAGTTGTGGTTATTTAGCATTATCTACTTAATAATTTGTCGATGTCTCACAAATATAACAACTTTAGTTTCAGTGTAATGTAACTATTTTCACAATTTTAGAAATTATTTTCAGTTATTTTGGCCATTACGAGGTCAAGATCATAAATTATTTCCTCAGCTTGGAATAATGCTTGGACCGTCTCTCTAATGCATTCCTAGTGGAATCTGGCATAGCATGACTGATCCATGAGCATAATGGAAAGAGTTCATTAGCAAGGCTTTGAGATATTCACAACAGACACAAGGCTGCAACTATGTCTCTTAGACCAAGGTGAATATCTTATAGCTGACTCATTTTTCTGCCCTCTTTGCTTAACTATTTTTGTTAAGCAACTCCAATTATGAGTGGGCAGAAATATCCAAGTGGTCCTCACATAAGCAAATTCCTTATAATAGTAAATATGTATCCTAATAGTTCTGTTTCTCTGGAAACTTCTGACCAATACTTATGCGTATACCACATTTTGTTTAGCCATTCACCCATTGATGGACACTCAGGTTGCTTCCACCTTTTTGTTATTGGGAATAATGCTGTTATGAACATGGATGTACAAGAAATATTGAGTTTCTTACTTATCATAATTAAATTGGGGTCTAATTGTCGTGGGCAGAATAGTTGATACTACTAAGCTAAAATATTTACATGAATGTGAAGTTTGATGCCTTCTTCCTCTCTCCTAGTCCCTTAACCTTCCTGTTTTCTTAGCTAATCCCTGAATTTAGAGGCTTCCCCAAATTCTTGACTCTCTTTTCTCATTAACTTATCTCCCAGGGCATTGCCATCCTGTCTCGCATCGATGTCTCTCAGATTCGATCCTGTTTTGCCTTTTTTTTTTTTTTTTTTTTGCATTCCAATCACATATTGCCAGCTATCTGCTAGTAATATCACATGGATTCCCCACTAGTAATATTTCAAAAATATCCCCTTTCTTTCAATGGCCCTGCTGGTCTTCAGGTTTAGAACCTTGGAATCTTCCATGACTCTTTCATGGTTAACTGGTTTCCGACACCAACAGATTCATCTATATATCCCCTCTCCACAGCCTCTTCCACCTTTTTTATCTCTAGATTTCTATTTAGGCCTTTACCACCTGGTTCTTACCTCCAGACTCTTGCCCTCCCAATCTGACTTGCCTAACACAATAATATTCTCAAAGTGTACTTTTGTCATATTATGTCCCTGTTCAAAACAGTTTCAGTGTTCCTCCATTGTCTTAAAAATATAGCCCATATTCCTTAGTGACATTTAAGTCAAATCTTTGAACAACTTTGTCTCAATTTACTGTTTTACCCTTATTGTTCAATTTATATTGCCTTGCACAGCTTTAGTTCCTCAATTTTGTTCACATAGTTCCCATTTTAAAAAACTTATTACAAAGAATTTCTAACATAAACAAAAGAAAATAGAATAGCATAATGAACGTGTTATGCTATTAACAGGTCTCAGCTACCGTCAACCACCGGCCGATCTGCTCTATCCACATCCCATCCACTTTCCCAGACAGCATGTTATTTCACCCATAAGTATCTCAGTATACCTTTCTAAAAGATAAAGGTTCGTTTTAACAAAAGCAGAATACTATTATCACACTAAAAATATTAATATTAGTCGATACATATATTGCATTAAAATTTGTTTATAATACAGGTTTTGACATTTATGAGACAATTGAAAATTTCAGTGATTTAAAATTTTTAAATTGTCTTATAAACACCACAAATGGCGATTTATTTTAGTTTTTTAATGCAATATATTTCAAGTGGGATACAGTTCTCCATTTCATCATGCAGCTTTGAATTTCTATATTTCTAAATTCTCCATTTCATCCAGCAGCTTTGGATTTCCAAATTCTATCTATTAAGGCCCAGTTACTTGCTACCTCCTCCACAAAGGCTCCCCTAACCTTATAAACTGAAAGCTTTATCTGCCTTTCCTCTTACCCTACGAGCACAGTGGTATGTTATGTATATGAATATCTTATCTTCCCTCTGAGACCACAAGCTCCTTAAAGTATGAGTTATCTAGGTCCTGCCCAGTACTTGTAAGAATCAATATCTTACACTGGTGCTTCTCAAATGTGAGGTTTCCCACCCAACGGCATCTCCTTCATCTAGGAACTTGTTAGAAATGCAAATTCTCAGGCTGTTCTTCATTCCTACTGAATTAAAAACACTGGAGGTAGGACCCAGTAATCAGTGTTTTAATAAGCCCTCCAGGTGATTCTGATGCACTCTAAAGTTTCAGAAACATTGCCTTACACATAGTAGGTGCTCTTCAAGCTGTCTATAAAATATGAAATATTTGAATGCTATAAAATAACTCTACTGTGAAGAAAATTAATGGCACTGCTCAATGGACAATTCTGTCAGATACTTTGGCAATCCAAGAAAAGGTTTATGGACATATAGGTCATGATATGTCCAGAAAAGAATACATTATAAGACTAATGGAGGGGGTACCTGAAACAGCTGTAGCGGGGTCACTTATAACAGTGTCATTAAGGAATGTCAATATTCCTGGAATGATAGCCAGATGGAGATAATTATTCTCTGAAAGTCACGAGGGTCTAAACTTGTTCTGAAATAAATCCATTTTACATTGCAAGGTGACACTGAAGAGCTCTCAAATACAATTTATTTTAGACAAGGCAGATAAGCTTGTGGTAAAAGGATAATGACCATGAACAGAGACATTAAAGGTCAATGCCTCCAAATATTTTTGTTTACTGCCACTGTACCAGTGACACAAGCTAAAGTCAAATATCTCTGAATGATGTTGAACTGCAGTGAGCACTATAATTCAGAGATGAATGGTTCATCTTAATAAGAATACATTTTGTGGTAATACAATATTTGGTGTGACAAAACATATTGAAGAAATTCTAGACTCTGTCTTATAGGTTGCGATTTAAGTATAATAGGCAGGATTTACTGCAAATCAAAACCTTAGGAAAATCTAAATGAATCAAAAATTAAAAAATTCTGAAAAGAGCCAGAATTATTCAACTATTGAAATTAACTAAAAACAAGGCAACTATATAGGGTTTGGGGACTAGCTACAGTATTAAAATATTTTTTTTTTTTAAATGAAAAACAGTCACTAAGAAAAAGGAAATCATCACAACAAGCAAAGTATGCTGAGGAGACTGGAGTACTAAGATAACTGAAGAATCTGAGGAAATCAGGAGAATCCCGGACATAGGCGCCATGGACAGTGGACAAGACTGCGGCGAACCTTCCACTATATCCATTCCGGTCTGGGTTTCATTGAGAATCATGTGAAAGCTGTGGACTTCTTCCAAGAAATGTGCACGTGTACTAACATTCACATACAATTTCAGGAAGTTCAATGACTTCTAAATAAGTAATATTCAGATTATGGACTCCTGGCCTAGTGACCAAAGAGATTTGGCTAATATCAGACTCAAAAGTGCACTCATTTAAAGATTTCTCCCACTCAAAAGTGCTTTTATTGGCACAGCAGAGTTTTAGGCATTGAACCGAACGTGGAGGAATCAAGAGCAGAGTTCCACCGTAGCAGGGAGAAAAGGCATTGATCCTGAAGGGAATGGTGGTTGGCTGTGCAATTTTTCCAAGACTCTCCTTACATGGAGGACATCTGGCTTGTTTCCGAGATGCAGTGGTGAGCAGTTCAGATTTGGCTTTGTTTTCTTGTTTTTGCTCTCAGGCTACAGGGGAAGGTTGAAGTTTGTGACCAATTCAGAGACTTAGATTGATATTTAGTGTGAGAAAAAGAAAGGGTGGGGCAGAGGGAGGGAAGGGGATGGAGGAAGAAGAGAAAAAAGGGAGAGTAGGAGGAAGAGCCAGCGATGTCAGTGTGTGAAGGAAAAGCAACAGAAGAATTGTGTATAAGACTGAAATTTAAAAAGAGATAGAGGGGATAAAATGGTTAAATGATGTGAAAAGTGATCTATAAATGCCTGTTTTTTTACTAAACAACAGAGTGTGGGGATTTTGTAACCTGAAGAAAGCAGCATTGCAGCATTTCTTCCTACTGAAGCATATGGTGCTTAAGACCATGGGGGATAAATGCCTTAGAGATTGCCTCTCATGGAGTTGTCATGCAGATCTTCTTAGTATTCCCCATTGCTCTTATGGTGAAAAATTCCATGGAAAGGAATAGAAGGACACATTTATACAGAAGGTAGACCATGTGAAGACAAAGAAGATGGCCATCTACAAGGCAAGGAGAGAGGCCTCAGAAGAAGCCAACCCTGCAGACACACTGATCTCAAACTCATAGCCTCCAGAATTGTGAGGAAATATATTTCTGTCATTTTTTATTATTATTATTTTTTTACACCTGCAACACCCAGTCTTCCTAGGTGGTCTCCCACCCAAGTACTAACCGGGCCTGACCCTGCTTAGCTTCCAAGATCAGAC